TTTTGAGGCAGAATCTTGCTAATTTTATAGATTTCCCAGGATGGCCTCAAACTTGTAATCCTCTTGAATCAGTCTCCCAAAACACTCAGATTGCACCACTTCTGGCTTGAGACATAGTTCTTAAGCTTTCTAAAATTAGTTTCCTCACAATAGGGCTTATAATGATCACCTCATGCTACTGTTTTAAAGCTGGTATAATAGTTGATGCTCAAAACATTATTTCATATGCCTTCCCAGTCCCATTCTTTCCCCTAGAACATCAGGGTCTTATCCTGTTTTCTCAGAGTATCTCTGTCCAGGGACACCCTTATGTCTAAGTTTTGCATTTTGGTAGTAAATATAGGATAGAATTTGTATCGAACATTCTGGGTGTTTCACCATGGTCACGGATTTCCAGTATCAACAAATTTCAGGTTGTGTGGCTAAAGAACATCAGTTGCCATGGGGAGCACATGAGTTTATGGTCCTGGCCTCATGGAGAGGAACAGGGGTCTCCTTGAGTGGCTGGTCAGGGATATACTGGCTTGAAAATGCTTTATAAAAGGGTTTTGGTGGCATCAGTTCCCGTAGAATTTTTCATTTTCCCTGGATCAGAAGATAGACACTCATCATGAGGGTGGAAGGACATAGCAATAGAAGCTGGTATCAAAATAGAGCCCGACAAGCATATTATTCTGGACCACTCATTTTAGGAGGACCCAGGCTGGCATGTGTAACAGGCCCTGAAGGCATCACTGTAGCACAAGTGTCCCAATGTTTGTTAAATTTGAGCCTTACAAAGCTAGTGTTCATGCATTTCTGAAACGCAAAGATTAAATCATATTTAAAGTATTCTGTTTAGGAATTGAGGAGCTGCATCATTTTAGAGAGAGTTTAATCCATAGCAATTGAAATAAGAATGCTTTCATTTTGGATAAACTTTTAGAATATTCACACTGGAAGGAATTTTTTATTAGCATACATTTGCAGGGCATGATGATTTTATGCCCTGAGTGGAGAACTCAGCATACCCTTCCACCCCCTCTTCATCTCTTGATCTCCTTCCCATTTGAGAAAGATCTATCTTCCTACTTCCTATTGTCTTTCTTTAATTTTGTTCTTTATTTAGAGTTTAGGATTCTCATCTAAGAGAAATCAGGTGACCTTTCAGCATCTGTGTCTGATTTATTTCACTTACCATTATGGTATCAACGTGCATCCATTTTCCCACAAATGCTTCAAATAGAATGGTAGTCACTGTTTTGTACAATCCAGTATTACATGCATGTAACAACTGAATAAATATTTTAAAATGGAATTCAATATACAGACACAGTACTCCTCTACTTACAATGGGGCTATGTCCTAAGTTGAAAATGCCTTATGCTGAGATTGCATTTGGTTTCCCAAGCCACTGAACTATGTTAGCAACACAATGTACTCTAGAGCACCAGTGGTTTACTCTTGGGGTCCCTTTGCTGATTGAGAGCTGCCTAGAACCTCCAAGAATGTCTATCACATATCACTAGCCCAGGGAAAAATCAAAATTCAAAATTTGTGGGCCAGATTTTGTGAACACATATTGCTTTTGCACCATAATAAAGTGGGAAAGTTGTAAGTCACCCAGGGATCGTCTGCAATAGGGTCTCTCAACAATGCCCTGGATGACCCAACTATTGAAGGACACTCATAGTACATTTCTGATCTTCATTTTTCTACAATATGTTGACAATCATGACAAGTCATCTCTTAGCTACTCATCCCATTAAGCAAGTTATTAACTGTTTACCCAAGTGGGGTATGAGATGTAAAACCACTTCTTCAAAAACCGATTAAGAGATTAATACTGCTTTCCAACTTGAAATAATGACACATTTCTTTTGAGTTTATCTTTCATTTTAGGCCGTCAGGGTTTGCAAAAACAGTCAGTGATAAATACTTTAAAGAATCTGCAGTCAGCTCACACTCATCATTAATAGGATTGCTCAACCAGCTTATCTGCTCCAGTTCTGGAAATCTCTTTATCTGCAGAGACTCTAATCACTTAGAAAGAGCAAGGTTGAGGGAATCTGCTTTCAAGACAGTTTTTAAAAAACTTTTGGCAACAAAGTCTACTGCTCTATTTTCCTGGATTTCTTCTGTCTTTCATGTCAGCTTTTCCCCATATGGTAATTAAAATAGCGCTTTGCATGGATTTGAACATAGGTGAGTCACTTGTGTTTTCTGAGGAGATAAGCATTTCTGTAGGCCTCTTCTTTCTTTTTAAAAAATATTTATTTATTTATCATTTTATCTAAGTTTATTGGTACAAGGTAGGTATACATAATGGCCACATTCATGACAGGAAATTTGTATCTGTTCCTGATACATCTTGATTCCTCGCCCCATTCCCATCCCCTTTCAAACCTCCTTCTACCCCCTGTTCACAAAGCTTGGTTTGCATTCATCCTTCTTTCCTCTTTTTCTCTGTTTCTTCCCTTCCCCTCTCCCTCCCTTTTTCCCTTTTCCTTTTGAGTAGTTTCTTCCTATTTCACAATATCATTGTACGTTAATGTTCTTACTTACCTTTTCAGTAGGCCTTTTCTATTGGTTGCATTGCTGAATTCTGCTGGTCCCATGACACAAGGAGCTACCCACTCTGCACTGAATTCAGTTAAGAGGGGAGCATAATTAAAAGGGCAGCCTCAGCTCTGGGCACTGGGAAGGGTTTGAAATGCATTTCTTGGAAGAGGAGCAAAGGCTGAGAGAATCAGCTGGTGGCTAAAACTGATTTGGACGTGGGCAGTTGCCTCTGCAGTAAACCCAGCTAGAGAAGCAAAATATGGCAGACAATGAATGTCAAGAATGCCCTCTAGCAGGAAGTGGAGCATAGGCTTCCATAGGGGTGGGGTGTAGGCTGGATGTCAAGTTCATTTTTGCTAGACATGAGCTGGGCCTCCAGTTACAGTCCATGGAGCTCCATCCAATGTACAAAGTGAATTTCCTTGAGGAAATAGGAGACCATTAGGGAAAGAAACTGCACTTTTTGCAAAAATTGTGTGACTACTGTATTACTACCTACCATCTTTAAAGGTGCTTCCAGCTATAAAAACGGGCATTCTATTAAAGTCATGGAGTTACCACATCCCAAGTGCCATCCTATCAGTGCCTGTGAAACCAATGAACAATAATAGCACAAAGAGGAAGAAGACAGTTGTGAAAACTGGTGAGTTATGTGGTTGTTATCTATTGCTGCTTAACAGTATTACCACAAACAGGATCTTCAAACGGCACACATTTATCATCACCGTTTTCAGGGGTCGGGACGTGGCTTAGATGAGCTCTCTGCTTAGTGTCTCGGAAGGTGGCGATCAAGGTGGCAGCTGAGGCTATGATCTCATCCAAGGCTGGACTGAGAAGGATCTGTTCTAAGATGACTCAGATCACTGGCAAAGTTCAGTTCCTGGAGGTTACAGAGAGGACTGGAGGTTCAGTTTCTCAGATTGTAGGGTGCAGGCTGTCTCAGCCCACAGTGCCTTGCCAGGTTGAGTTCCCTGACATGGAGAAAGACTCCAGCAAGGCAGGTGCAACAATGTGACATAATTATGCAACCACAAATCATCACACACACTCAATCATCTTTTCTGTATCCTGGTTAGATACAGTAGAAAGACAGGTCCTGCCCACACAAGGGAAAGGCATCACACAAGGATCTGTACACCAGGAAGAGGGGATCAAGTCTATTATCAAAAGCCTGGGAGTGGCAGAGTTGGGCAGGGCAGTCCTGGGGCTGACGCATCCTTCTTCTGGGGGAGGTTCTTCCAGTGGGGAATTGGTGAGGGGAGCAGAACAGAGCCCCAAACTCTGCCCTATTTAGCTCTGCCAGAGCAGGAGCATGGGAGGAGCCCTGGGTGGGCTTTCTCTCATAGTTGTGTATGCCATCCAATCTAGCAGCCTGTCTAGGATTATACCTTCTCTTTGTTGCATGCAAATGCTTTATTTATTCATGGTTTTTTTCTCAACTGTACTATAGGCATCTTAAAGATTGCAACCATTTCTTGATATATCGGGAGATATTTGCATGCCCTTCACATAGGATAAAAACAAAGGCAAAGATACTTTGGAGGGAATGGTTCACATTCATTCTCTAGTGATACAGCGCTCGGAGAGGTCTCTAGGTCAATGTGAAAATCTAGCTGTACTTGGTTGTATAAAAAAATGCATATTTGAAAGGGGTAACCTTATGAATATCAAATAACCCCCAAAACAATGTGCTTGGGACCTCCTAGAGTTGCTCAGTTCCATCTAGAGGCAGAGAGATAAAGGATAAAGAAGCCCAGAAGACTAGCAGGAATATGGACTTATTGCTTTAACTGGAGTCTCAGTGACATAGTCCTAGCCCTTGGATGATGCAATAAAATGTGTAGCACAGTGCCTACTGTTAACATGCAGGAAATAGGTATCACAATGATCCTTTTAAGACTGTGACTGGGATGGCTCTTATCGATTCTCAAGATGCAATTTGTCACATACCAAGGGCATGAAGGAGAGGTATTTATCACATTGTGTACACAGCTCACTTCTTAAGCTCATGGGGATGTGGTGTGCTGGTTCTCTGAGACTGGAGGAAATTAGAATCTTTACTGCTTTTCTCTTTCTTGAAGCTGACTGTACTGAAAATGTGGTAAGAGGACAGGGACCACAGCATCCTCTGTGGACAGCAGGGGAGGCCTGGAACAGGTGCTAATTGTGCTAGAGCAGGACAGAGTGTCACAGCTCCTGCTTTCCATCTCCAACCTCCTAGGGTGGGCTGCAATGCATGTTGGAACTAGCAGAGTACACTTGGTCAAAGCCACAGTCTATGTAAAGCAATGCCTATTTTGGGCAATACTAAGGGTCACAAGAGGGGAAGAGTGTGGGCACTTTCTGTAAGCTGTGTATCTAAGGGAACCCAGGATGAACTCTCTTCATCAAGAATCTGTCTGAGATTAAGTTTTAATTTTCTCCCCAAAGCGCCCTAAGGGGCCAATGAAAGTGTTAACTACATGTTAGAAAAGTTTTAATTTAACAATTTATGATTAAAAATACATCTTATAAATAATTTTTCCATAGACTTGATTGAAGGTTTGTTGCAAACTCTACAAAAAAAATCCTGCAACATTGACAGATTAAAGAAATTACAAAAAATATAGCGACAGCCCTATGTAAAAATACAACATTATACATCACACAGCATTTTCTTTGTGCAAAAAGTTTAAAAGAATGCTGTGTTAAGCATGTGAAACACATTTACTGAAAGGGAAGTAAACTTTAATACAGTTACTTGTATAATAGTATAGGCACAATTGAAATGACGAATCACTTTCCCCCAGAAGCTAATATACCTTAGTTCAATGTTTTATTTTGACTGAAAGGCTGAACACAGCCTTGTACAAATGTACATATATATATCAATATATATATGCATGAAAACAAGTATCTGCTTTGATATCGTGTAAACATTCAACATATTTACAGTATTTTTGGAGATTTTGTTCTCCAAATCAGTCTGTGTATATCTTCTTCTCTATTAAATAAGTCTTTAGCAAATTAAATTAAGCTGATATCTGTCAATTAGTGGACGTCCTCTGTCGAAACTTCCAGTTTTCTCTGGGGGACAAAGAAGGTTCCAAAGGTTTTACTGGCACCATCGAAATCCACACAGGATAAGCCAGCTGGTTTGGTTGGTCCGCCTGGGGTACGGAAGAAACTTTCAGCCACTAACTCTGACCCTTTGGGTGTCACGGGAACAGGCTGTTCAAAAATGAGAGGAAAGGGAAAAAGGAATTAAAACTAGAAATACACAAGCCCTCACAGACTTGCCAGGTTAGAGTGGATGAACATGTCTAGCATATCCTGAAACTGGCTAGCGGAAGTCTTAACAAGTTTGACATTCTCCATTATTTTAAGGGGAGACAAAATCCTCTTTATAAGCCAGTACTGTGGACTCTTTGGGGATATCTTTCTGGACTTGGCAGGAAGGCTGGCTTTCAGTCCTCCACTCTCCTCCTCTTTCCCCCTCCAAACACAGGAAATAAAAGCAAATCTCCTCTGATACAGACACTTGGGACCTAATAACTCAAGGAATAATGAAATTAAGTGGAAATACCCTCACCTGTTGTGTCCCTGTCACAGTGACTGACTGTCCATTTGGTTGGCTCTGGCCCGGGACTGGTGAGTCAGAGCTGGTGGCCTTTCCTTGCTGACAGCCTGCATGTTCTGGTACGACACTAATTGCTTCTATTTTGGGGGACACAGGAATGGTTCCAGACCCAGGTCCAGGGCTGGCGGACACCTGCACACTGGGGGAGATGAGTCCCAAGTGCTGCAGAGTGAAGTTTACAATGGCTGAGCTTGGGTTCTGAATGGCAATGGGGTGGCTGGAGGCAAGCGCTGGGCTGTTCCCACCGTGTACAGCTGCCACGGAAGTGGGGGAGACCATTAGCTTCAAAGGGGTCACATGAAAAGAGGGAAAATTCACAGCAGTGAGTTCAGAGGATGTCACTGGAATGACACCTGGAAAACAAAGGGAGAGATCTTAAAAGGACAGGCATTTATCTGAGGGGTTTACAAGGCTTAAGAAACTTGAGACTGGCTCTGTCTTCAATGGTGTTTTCTGAATGCTCACCTGCGATTGGGGAGCTGTAGATCCTGTGGTTTGGGGAAGGTGTACCTGAGTTTTCTTTATTAGATAGAATGGATTCTGCCCCCAAGGATGAACACTGGGTGAGAGGGATTAGGTATCCCGGGAACAAGGTCTGGAAAACAAGGAGGAGGGGTTTATTTACATGCAAATTAATGTCAGTTGTTGTTTGTCTCATCCAACCAAAGCCTTCCACAGTCTGGGACGAACCATCTGGTTCCCAGAGCCACCCTCCCATGCATTCCAGAGCTGGTGCTAGAGAACACAGGGTCTTCTGTATCTTAAATGCTACTGGCACCTGCACAGAGGTAGGACTCTCCCAACACAGTACACTCGTAGTGACATCCTGACTCCTGTGATCAGACTTCTGGGTATGATGTGGTCCTGTTGGTGTCGTGTTTAATGCTGGCGAAAGCCACATGCCATACTGCGGAGCAGTACCTGGCTATTCTTGAATTAGGTAGGGCAGTATTTCCCCACAAGTATTCTGAGAGACCCTTGCTTCTGGAGATGCAAGCAGGCATTACATGATTGGTGATCAAATACATTCGGGAAATGCTAAATTAAACAAAGACAAATGGTGTCTTTGTTAGAGAATTTTTAAGAGACTTTAATGACTGCATGCATTATTAACCCTCAAGTGGGACATACTACGTGTAGCACTTCCCAGATTGTTTTTGGTAGGCTATTAAGGAGGACTATTATTCAAAGAAAACACTTGAGACAGTGTTGATTTAGAGAAAGAAACAGCCAAACCACAGTGTTTGGCCATGTCTAACCCTTCCTATGCTTTTGTAAAGAAAGCTTTACTGGAACATTCATGCCCATTCATTGATGCATTATCTATGGCTGCCCTCCTGTGACAGGGGCCGTATGGCCCACAAAGCCAAACAGATTTACTCTCTGGCCCTTTATAGGAAGTTTACTGACCCCCGATTTAGAACAAAAGGAATTTATAGACTTTTTTGTGGTACGGCTTATTCTGGTGATACTAGGCTTTTACAGGAAAACCAACGTAGGTTGAAGTTCAAAAATGACGGACAAAAAAAATAGAACTGATTAATTCGTATCAGAGACCCAAACATCACTGAGCAAAGTCTCATGCAAAAAAAAAAAAAGTAATATTCCAAACAGAAAAGGCCCATATGTCTGCCTGCAAGCACCTCCCACCCCGCCAGTCTCTCCGGACTTCACTGGACAGGAAGTCTACGTGGGTGGCTGAGCAGGCCTGCTTGGGGCTGGCGAAAGCTAAAAGCAGCTATTACAAAGTAGGGGCTTCCTTTTATCTTCCTTCAGACCTTTCTTCTCTCCATTGTCAAAACAACAGTCCACACTTTGATCTAGCTCTTAGTATGTCTGTTCCTTGGGAACCAGTGAATGCAGAATTCATAGAGCCAAAAGTACACCACAAGATTTAAATTTTGTTTCATAGGTGCTGGTTAATCCTCAGAACCCTTACCAGCTGGCACTCTGAAAGCGCAGAAATAGAATTCTAAAGGCTGGACTGGGACCTTTTACATTCAGGTGTGCTGTGACCTGTAGTCATATGGTCTGGCACAGGTTATGATGATGCCTGGTTTCACTCTTTAAAGACTTCAGTAAAACCTATAGTACTTTCTCCATAATCATGCTTTTCAATTTTTAATGAATTGCATTTATTATAAAATTTTTTAACCTATGGTGCTAATTCCATTTTTTAAAAAAAAAAAATCGTTAGAACTACTAATTTAGCATAATGAATGAATCTGACATATTTCCACTGGAATGTCATCTCTTTCAGCCTACAGACCTCTTCTTCCTCTCATCTCATTCTATTTTATTCTCTGTCCTTCTCTCACATTCACTGTCTGTGTGTATTTTCGTGTTTATCTAAATATTGTTTTCTCTCCACCTCTGGAAGTGTGGATTCTCTGGAAATGTTCTCTGGACTATAATACATTGTCTTTGCTCTCTATCACCCATGCTAAAAAGAAGTGGTCAAAATGAAGCCACAGAGATGAAAAAAAGAAGCAATGAGACATAGAAAATGTACCCACTGCAAACCCAATCCTGATGCAACAAAATTCAGGGTGCAATGGAGAACCATCACTAAATCATCCCCACTGGCCCAGAGATTAATGGACCTCCTAGAACACTGAGTCTGGTGATTTTCCCCCTAGTGTGTACATTAAATGCAAAACAAAACACCCGATAATAGACGCTCTGAATGATTTCAATGGGGCCATCCTCAGGGAAGACTTGACAAACTCTAAGCTTCCTTAGTAACTACAGTTGCAACTAATGCCCTGCAGCTGATACAATGTCTTAACAGGATCACAAACCTCCTTATGCATAGGATCACATAATAAACTTACTTAATCCCACAAAAACTGTAATATGGCCATAGGGCAAATACTCAGAACCAACAGCCGCTGAAGGCAGGTGCTGGGTTAGATGGGAGCCAGAGTGCAGTTTTTCTTCATCCAGGAAGCAAGCAGGGGGAAAAACTGGTGGAATAAATTCATTACAGAGGAAGGGGAAATAAAAAGGCAGAGAAGTAAAATAACTTGAGTTAACAGCCGGGACAAAATAAGAGAATAATTTGTTTCCATGTGTAGTGATATTCATGTGATGATAATGTCTCTCATACAAAACTGTTCTAAGAGAGGAAAACGAGACAATGAATGTAAAAGTACCTGATACCTGGGACATCTAGGATTGGGTAAATATCCAATAAATATTAATTCTTTCCGGAACTAATCTCTACCCAGGAAAAAAATTCATCTAGAATGTCAACATCTCTAGAAACTGATGTTTCTACTTTTCAAGGTCAGTTTGATTCCTCTATTTATACCAAATAGAAATCCTCAGAGAAAAAGTAAAAAAAGGGGCACAAATTATCTTCTAGGCGACAGATGTCAGTTCCATGACATCAAACAAACATTGGGGAGTGACTCAGAAAGCAGGAGTTACAGGAACCCCACACATCCATCCATTTGGGATTAGGTCTGCTGATAAATTATTTACAGCTTTCATGACAGGTGTTTGCATTCCAGCCTGATGGAGAAACACACTTAAGGGCAACCGCCTGTGGTGCTTTAAAAAGCGAGCAAGTAATCTCTTCCTCCGAAGGTTAAAAACGTCTCCGAAATCACCCTGGCAGGGGATTAGCTGTCTGGACCTCATTTGGGTTATGAGATGCCAAGGAACAGTTCTTTGTGTGCTAAGACGCTGTTACCAGCTCTTTGTGCTAGTAAACTTCACACATCCCTAGATTGTTCCAGAATTGAGCAGGGAATTCCTAAAATTTTAAAGCACAATTTTAAGGTTGTACTTACCGCGGACATGTTTTCAAGTCCTTTTAAGTCCTCTTTATATTTCTTTTTAGAAACACAGTCCTCAAACATGCTGGATCTCTTGGAGCCCCTTTCTCCAGGTGCCTCCTTGGTTTGGTTCTTCGCTCCTTGTCTCTCTGGTGCTGGCAGTAAGCTTCCAGCTCTGGAGGAGCTGCTGGCCCTTGAGGCACTGTTTGTGGCCTTCTCGGTGGTGGCATCTGTGGAGTCTTTTGCTCTGGTAGCTTTAGAGCAGTGGGTGGGGCAGACCGTCGGGCTCAGGCCTTGGGGTGGTGTCACAGTTTGGGTTTGGGCAGGTTGCAAGTAGATGGCATAGGATGGACCAGAGGCAGCCTGAGGTAGGATCACGGGCACCGCGGGTGACAATGGGCTGGGGACCAGGGGGACGACTCCCAGGGGCTGGATGAGGGATGGTGTCGTCAGCTCCAGCTCGGTGTTTGCTGAAGCATCCAGCAGGGTCACTGGTTTGCAATGCCCAGATCTTGCTAGCTGTACTTTCATTTTCTTTAGGGGTTCACTAAAAGATAAGATTTTAAACATGACACGAGGGAAATACATTTTCTCCTCAATGATCTTCCATTGTAAGCCTCAGGCTGAAGCCACACTTTTGTGATACCAGTGATCATTTCTGTACTGACTGGGCAGGAGATACAGAAAAGATCACCTCTCCAGTTTCCAAGGCTGGTGTCACGATCACATCAAGGTAAGCATTTTTTAAAAATTTATTTTATTAGTTCATGTTGGCAGGACACGGTGTTTACATTCCTTGTATGTACACGATCTGGGTTTTAAAAATTTTTTTTATTTTGTTTTTTGTCTTTTTCTTTTTTATCGGTACCAGGGATTGAACTTACGACCGCCTGCTTGCAAGGCAGGCGCTTATGCCACTGAGCTAAATCCCCAGCCCCTACACGATCCGTTTTAATTCCTTTCTCTCCCCTCCCTCCAGTTTTGATTCTCTTCCCATTTGAGCAAGATCTATTTCCTTACTTCCTATTTATCTTTTATTTTGCTCGGTATACATTTGTGTTTCTCATACAATGCCGTATTTAACTGTGTGTGTCTGATTTAGTTCACTTAACATTTTTGTTTCTTTTTCTTTTCACTTAGCATTATAGTCTCAAGGTGCTTTCATTTTTCCCACAAATGACTGAAGTTTATCTTTATTCTTTTTTTCCGTCACAGTAGTGCTCCATTGTGCTGCTGTAAACATGAGTGTGCATGGATCACTGTAAAACAGTCTTTAACCCTTTCAGGAGGAAACCTAGAAGGGGGAAGGCTGGATCAAATGGCATTTCTCTTTTTTAAGTTTTTTGAGGACTCTTCATACTGATTTCCTTACTGGCTGTACTAGTTTACATTCCCACCAGCAATTCCAAAGAAGCAATGTAAAAGTAATTCACCCCATTACTAAAGACATTGTCAACCTACCTCTGTTCTTCTAACTGCATTTTGCAAATAGCTGCAAGCTGAGCCATTTTATTTGGGAAGGGTGGAGAATTCTGAGAACTCTCAGCTGGTAAAATAGAAAGAGGGTGTGTGGTTAAAGCTAAGAAATAAATGTTTACAAAAAACCGTGTCAGACAAAAGAACAGAACACAGCAATGAATAGTCAGTCCCCCAAATTACTTTTTAACCTCCGTAATTCACGTGTAATTTAGCTTTACCAGTCTGCATGTTTGGGTCTATAGATACTAAACCAATGGATCCACGAAGCCATCTGTATTAAAAAGGCAGAGAAAAAGGAAGGGAACCTTGACATTTCTGGGGTACACACCTTTGCTGTGCTTGACGGGGCTGCTAGGAGCAGAATTTATCTTTCTCCGATCGCTTTCTATACTCTTCACCAGCTTGATAAGCGACGGGTGTCGTGTAAAGTTGGGTTTGCCACGCGTGGAGAAGAGGTTTTTGGCACAGTTCTCTTTGGCAGATCGCCGCACCCCCAGGTCAGAGGTGGCAGAAGGAAGGACTGGGCTGGAGCCTGAAATGGAAAAGGTTAGTATATCAAAATCTGGCTACCTTCCGAGATACGAAATCAGGGTAGTTCAAATTTTAGGGATCAAAGTGGTGACAGTTGTAAATCACCAGCTGTGTGCTACTGTCCCAGGGGCTTTATAGATGTGACCTTGTTTATCTTACTCAGTGAATTCTGAGACCCGACATTTCCTGATGTAGCTCTGAGACCACACCCATACAGTTAGTTGTCACTGGGTACCCAAAGGGATTGGTTCCAGAATCCCCTACCATACCAAAATCTGCTGATGCCCTGGCTCCATATATACAATGTCATAGTATTTGCATATAACGTACATACTTTCTCCCACATGCTTTAAATCACCTCCAGACTACACTACCTAACGCTGTAGAATGCACATGCTATGTAAATAATTGTTATACGTTACTGTTTAGGAAGCAATCAGAAAAGGTCTGCATATGTTCAGTACAGCCAAATAAAACCAAAACAACAACAACAAACAACAAAAAACACCACATGTCTGTGTGGAGTCCCTTGATGCGGCATCTGTGGAGGGAGCCAACTATCTTATACCAGGGATGTGCTACAGTGCAGTCATTACTGACTTCTCCTGATGCATGGCTGGAAAGTCCTGTGTCCTCTCATCAGTCGAGTTTCAGAGCTACTGAAACATGGTGACTCCCTCACTGGCTCCACATGGCAGGTACTTCTCAGAGACAAGAGCAGGGACAGAGACATGAGCCAGTGACTCAAAGTTCCCAGCGGGCAGCTCGTGGGCTTCGCATATGGACTAGGCCAGAATGGCCCAAGAGCCTTCACTCCAAAGCCCTACACCAAGAGCCCACCTTTCCCTGAGGTTGTATCTAAAATCACCATAACCCTGCCAAGGTGCCGCTGTCCAATTTCCAATTTCACAGAGCAGGAAACTGAGAAAACTTGGAGAGGCCCCACGACTAATCAGTGGCAGAGCTGGGATTGAAACTTAAGTCTCTCTGCGCTCCACATTTTTGTCATTTCCCAGGGATTCTGCATCTTTGGCGGAAGGCCAAATGTTAGCATCACAGAACTGAGATGTGGATCTACCATGGCAGCAGAGTGAACTTAGACCATGTTCTCCATGTGTGCAGATCCTGCGGTGCTCACAGGAACAACAGCAGCAGTGTCTCATGACATACGGGGTACGTTCAACTTTTCAAGTCCTTTCACTTGCAAATTCTACAATACAGCTTGGGGGTGGTGGTAGTTATAGACCTTTAGGTATTGATGGAACAGGGAGCCAGCCTTCTGCTTTGGCATTCAACACTGTTTTGTTCAACCATCTATCTATGTTTTTTCCATGTAGGGGTGCAGGAAGAAAGAAGGGCGAATCTCCCTAAAGATACATTAAAAAACAAAGGAAAGGATGAAAGTAAACAGTTACATACCACTGGTATTGGGACTGATTTCCGGGCCTGTCCACTTAAAAGCTGGTTTTCGACCTCTTTCCTCTGTAACATGGACTTTTTTGATGAGATCCAGGCTACTTAGAACGTTAGCTATATCGTACAACCTCCTGATTTTTGCTGGAAATGAAAAAGTATATATGCCTCTTAATAGAATAATCATGATCAAAGGATTTTTGCTTCATAAGAAATTCATGTAGATTCTTAGAGATATCCTAACCATCAATGTCACAGAGGCACATATGGCTCCTTTTAAGTTACTTCTAGTATAGTGCTTTAATTAAAACAAAAAAGTAGTTTTAAATATTTAAAAGACAGCCACTGCTGGCCTTGAATTTTGAAATGACAACAGTACAAGTTGAAAAAGAAAAAATCTTGATGAGATCGCCCTGTTTATGAAAAGCCACTATTTCTGGTATCTTCTAATGACAAGGAATCAGAAGAATTTTATGGACAAAAACAGATGAGTGATAAACATCGCTTTTTTGCTTGTGATAGTTTATAACAAGATTTACTTAATAGGGTAAGAATGAGAAATTCTTACTCCCAGAAAATTTGTGTATTTTGTGAATAAGAAGTTGTCCTTAGGTCAAGCATATACTTGTTAATTCTATAAATCTCACTTATCTTAAAGCTTTGTCACAAGAAGCCTATTTACTTCCATCTTGTTAGTATAAACTCCAGTCCTTCGTAGCCATGCCAGAAGGTACTGAATATCCTGAGGATTCAGCAAATTATACATCTATAGTTCCTGGAATGGCTTCCAAAGCTGTGACTAACTGAGAAAACAGAGCTGAAAACTGGTGACTCAGAAAAAACAGGCGATCCATCAGGTCTTTTTTCAAATGGTAGGTCTCCTAACCCCATCACCTAACTCCTAGGCATCATGACCCTTATTTTCTATGCAGCTGTCACTATGGACACACTGTCAGCCTCAGGACATTTGAATACTCTGCCATGGGACTAGGACAGCTTTAAGGACAGGAAGGTATCTTGGTGTAAGGGCCCTAGGCAATCTCTACAGCCTCTCAGATCACTTGGGCCAGCTCTTCCTTATGGTACAGCTGGGTCCTGTGAGTTGCCCCCATCCAGGTTAGCTTCCAGCAGAAATAGGCATGTAACAGACTGCAGGCACTGAGCATCTCTGTCTACACCCTCTCTCTACTCCTCACATGGAGCTTCCTACAAAGTCTGGCATGGCCATAGGGCCAAAGCACTGCGTTAGGAACCCATCACGGTCCCTTCCTCACTCGGAGCAGATCATTTGGCTAAAATCACTGTTTCGGAATGGCAAACCATCTCTCTTACAGGTCACTTGAGAGGTCACCTTTGTATCAGCCAACTGTATCCTCAGCCAGCAGCATCAGTGGAAGGAGCCAAACAAGGATTCGATCACTTTACAATTTACTGCTCATTCATACCTCACAGGACAGATTCTTCCAGTGTAAAAAGGGCCCCGTAGTAAAGTATCAGATGAACTCAAAGTACAAGTAAGAACAGTGATTCCTATCTTGGACTCCTACAAAGGAACTAAATCTAAACCTATTAGAGCTACTGGAGAAAAAGGAAGATAACTAGAGACCTATTTAAATGACCAAGACTCCTAAAAATCAGTGGATCACTGAGACTGCTGTTCCCCAGAAGGTCCCAAATTCCATGATTATGACACTTGCTTTTAAATTTGCTTTTATCCAGGTCTTCCACATGGTCCTCCCCAATTAAAATCTTGGCAGCGATTTCTAGGCTGACGATCTGTGGTGTTGACACCAAAAACAGCATCACAAACTTCTGGCTCATCACTCGTAAGGACTTGTCTTTGCGGCTGTTTACAGAAGCTTTGGAGAAGGACGAGGATTAGAGAATTAAAATTCATGAAAGGACAAGTGACTTCTAAAGTAACAGGGCTAAAAATACCACCACCAGATTATCCAGCTGACAACTGCAGCATTTTGACATTAAAAGCCACAGTAGTGATAGAATAGTGTTTTCATGGGGTCTTTTGAGACCCTTCAGAAAAGTTACACAGCCTGGACTTTTATGTTTTATTTTATTTTTTAGAGATGAAGTCTCTCCATGCAGTGCAGGCTCGTCTTGAACCTGATTATGTAGCCCAGGCTGGCCTCCAACTTGAGGTGATCCTCTTGTGTCTGTCTCCCATGTGCTGGGATTACAGCCCTGGCTGGTAAACCTGGCTGGCCTGGGCTTTTCAATACCATCTCTCACCTGCCCGAAATTCCATGCCAGGGAGTTCAACAAAACACATCTCTGTATGTCCATTCTGGCCGGTGTTTGATTTGATGATGTGATCTTCTATACTGTAACTCTTAATGAAATCGAACTCTTGTTCATATTCTTTCTTTTTGATCATCATAATCTGCTCGGCGTACTTATTCTCCTCCCCGACGCTCTTCAGAGTGCCGAGGGTTTTGTTGAGATTGTGTCGCCCATGCCAGGTATACCTGTTTTTGGCCAGTCGGCTCACCATGTGTAAACTCTCCAGGACGTTCACAATATCGTAAATTCGTCGACGTTCAACATCTGTGAAGAATAAAAAATTGTGCATTAGTAGGGTCATGCTTTTGTGATGTGTTCAGAATAGAGTGCATTTTCTTCTACGGTATTATTGGTCATCAGGTTCTGAATAATACAATTTTATTTACTACATGCATCCTTAACAAGTGATATGTTGAGAATGACATATACATATGAATAAGACACTGTCTATTGAGGACCTAGTATGTGTTACACAGCATTAGGATATTTCACCCTAACTTGTGAGGCAGGCATAAATATCTCATCACACGTACACAGAGTCCTGCCTACAGGAATTACATTATTGGTATAAAGTGCTGCAATTTCAGAAAAGTGCAAAAACCGTGATGTTTTCTAAAAAGTCACATAAAAAATAGAATATTATATCTCTACTTGCGTCTGACTGTGCTTACTTTCCAGCAATGGTTAATAATGTGGTAGTAGTAATTCTGCATCTACCCATCTAGTTGACTTTTCAGCGTTCTGCAGTGTTATGTTTCCCTCTCTCTCTTTTTCTTTTTAACCAGAAATTGACTTCCAATGTTGATTCCAATTCAAATATTTGATGAAATCTAGTTTTTCTGGAAAAGTGTTTAACAAAACGCGCCTTCAAGAAGGGCGCCCTCTAGTGGAGTCTCGCTGCGCGGGGACTGCCTGACAAGCCCTTGCCTACGCCAGGGCTCTTCCTTGGGTTCAGAAGCCCTTCTTCCTCCTGCCTTACTTCCTTCTTTCAAGTCCTGGCTCAGATGTCAACTCAGTGAGGCCTGACCTGACCACTTCATTAAAAATCGTAAAGGGCCAGTCCTGGGGACCCTTCTACCCTTCTCCTTTTCACCATAGTATGTTACTACCTGACCTTCACCATCATGACCAATGTGTTGTGTCCTATGTTCAGTACCCACTGCCTCACCAGGATGCAGGTTCCCCAGAGAAGAGGTTTTCCCCTTTCTGCCTCATTGCTGTATTCTCAGCTCCTAGAACACTGCCTGGCACTCAGGTGATCCGTAAATAGCTGCTGGATTAAAGGGTGCTTCCTACTGGCCTATCTAAGTGGTATACTCTTCAAATGTGAAATAAAGCTGATATTTATAGACATGTTATAAATACTAATGTATTAGAAACCTAACACTTTTCTCCACGGGTGATATCCAGACAATAAATGTATTATCCTGCTTAGCACCCTCTTTGAGTACTGGAGTTAAGACATGCATGCACGATTCCAAAGTTATTATGGGCTCCTTTTTAGCTGTAACTTGATGCAGGTCGGTGATGCAGGGAGTAAAAAGAGGGTGGAACACAATTTTTGTCAACCACAAAACATTCCAAAAAACCCTGTCTCTTCTCAGATTAATGGTGGTGGGGAAGACACAGTCCTGGTCCCTCTCACAGAAGTTGGCCCTCCACTTAGCCATGAAGATACACGTGGGCTTCCCAAGGGGAGGCCAAGGTGAAAGTCCAGAGTTGTAGCTGATAGTGAAACAAATCACAAAACACTGTTGCCTCCCAGTAAAGCTTTAGAGACCCTATAACCAGAAGTAACTCTCCAGTGGTTAGTACTTTGCCTCTAAGATTTACTGACGTTAGAAACTATTCCCCTTTATTCTTAAATGACAAAGACTTTACAACCTAATTTCCATGTGGCCTTGACTTCATCTCTTACGCACATGGCTCTGAAGGAGTTAAGTCCATAAAGCCATTTTAATTATTAACCATTTCAGCAAACTCCCTGAATACTTACTGAGCTCTTCCGCCACTTCATCAAGACAGATGTCATTATTTACAGCAGGGTTGGGATACTTAGGGTATCTTGCTAAGAACTTATGACACAACAATCCTAAACTTTTCTCTTTTCGACTTGGTTGAGACTTCTCATATTCATCTCCAGATAAGTGTTCCTGCAAAGGAAACGGTATACAATGTCTTACTGGTAAATAAAGTTTGACAGATTTACTAGGGGCATCTGCAGCTCGATGACTAACACCACTTACACACATGTTTAGCTTGGACAGCTGCAAAGTTTGGGGTAGGAAAAAAAAAAAAGAGTACATTCGTGAGGGGGGAATATACATGCGCTTTGACAAAACTGCAAGGAAAGCCTGAAATGTAAATTACTTAAATGTTCAGAATTCCCAATGCCATATATCTGATGGGTCCACGTTTTTCGGTACACTGGAGGTCAGCAACAGTTTCTGAGTGGCTTCCTATCCCTGAACATTTCTATGTCAGCTTCAATACCCTACGGATCCCAAGGCTCCAACCCAAGAGAACCTACCTGTAAACAGTCTTTGGCCTCAGGTAATCCCATTCTGTTGTCAAACAGCCCCCTTTTCTGATCTCTGCTGCGGATTTCTGGGCTCACAGCACTGATAAGCATTTTCAGATTGGCTGTGGGTGTCCATGGTTCTCCCTGGGAGACCTCCTTGGGCTTGGTGGGCGTGGTCAAAGGGCCCAGGTTAGGTGAGACATTCTCCTTGGTGGACTCCTTCAAGGGTGACCTCATCAGTCCCCTTTTGTGTGGCTCAATAAAAAGATTTTCCTGGTTCAAAGGAAGTAGTTACAAATCTGTTGTAAGACAGGACTTACCAGACAGCTTTAACATATAAAAATTGTACAACACATAGACTACTGCTGAGGAGGAAACGCCAAATGATTTCAGTTAATGAGTACATGCCAATGATCACTTGACACTTACTGCCCATTCTGATAGTTAAATTTCTTGTCTTTAATTTTATAAGAAGCATGGACCTAAATGTTTTTTATCCTCCAAGATTTTTTAAAAATGTTAAAATAAATTTTAACTCTACTTTGAAATAATTTTAGATTTAGAGAAGTCCCCAAATATCTTCCACTCATCTTCTCCAAACAAGACTGATACATTTAAGTGATCTCAAGTTTTAGAAGCAACCTTTACTCAAGAGACTAACAAATAAAGGCCTCTGGAGTAGAAACCATTATCCATTTAGCATAATGGCGACTTGCAGCAGATTCTCCATAAAACACTAAACATGCAGGAGAGCTGAGCAGACTTATCAGGAAAATCTAGAGTGCCTAAAAGAACGACTTCTGACCAGAAAGATCTGTTCTTTGAACATAAACCTTCTGACTTTACTATGGAGAAAATGGATCAAGGGAAGTAAAAGGAGCTACCCAAGGTCACAGAGCTGGTTTTTGGCAGAAGGAAGGCTGCTACTGCGACAAGAAGGTTACGTTAACAGCATTTCATTAGTAAGAATAATAAAGACTACATCCTTTCCAATTTCAGACACCAGGGACTTCGCACACTATTTTAAAGAACATACTTGGAAAAGTAAGTCAAAGAACAGAGACCCACATCTTCAGTAACCTTAGCAACATGGATTAATGGCACTCTTTTACATGTGACATATGAGGACTTTTGCAGTGTTTTTCTGTGTATATTTTTATTGAATCTTGTATTCCTATTTAGCAGAAGAAGACACCAGGTAGAGGGAGGTCACAAAGGACCAGAACCTTCTCAGTCTAGATATGGTCCTCTTGGAGGGAAATTAGTGCATAGCAAGTATACTCAGGACATGTGGTCTCAAGGATGCACTTTAGTCTCTAATGACTCCTCTTCTTTACCTCACACTGTCCAGAGTAACAGGAAGTCTCTTATTTAACATGTAAAACTTCAAGAACTTTTTCCTAAAAGTTTCCCTAAAAGTTACCAGTACCAGTTGAGCCACCCTTGTTAGCAATTCCTCTGTATAACTTTACAAAATACCTCATAAACAGCATTTAGAGCTCTAGTAGGAAACTGTGTAAAACAAATCTAATACTGAGCCATCTCAAATGCCCTTTCAAATTCCAACTGTTGAAGAATTAAGTATTTTCATGTAACTAATACATTTTATTACTCTTAAAAATGTTTTTCTCTGTTTATCTTTTTTGAGACTTCCAACACATCTCTTAAAAAATGAAACTTCCCTTCCTTTGAGGTTTTTACAAAGAAAAAAAAAAGGATAATGCTGGAGAATGAAACATTAAGAAGTTAAACCAGGATGATATTACACTTAAAATTCCAGAATCGATATTGAAATTAAAAGTACCTTTTCATTGTCCATTATGTCAATTTCTCACACATTTAGTGATTCTTTAAAAATGAAAAATCTGGCATTCCTTCCCAAATCTCAATGGTCAAGTAGTCCAATCAATTCTATCAAAATCTTTTAAATCCTTAAAGAAAAAAAGAAACAGAGGGGAAAAATATCACAATCAGGCAATCTGTTGAAAATTCAGACACAAGAGGCTACAAAAAAACCGACTAACGAAAAGTGACGAATTAGACAATATTTTTTGACCATCACAAGTAGACTTACTGGGCAGAGAACTGCAGGAAACCCAAGTAAAATTCCTGCATAAACCCATCTGCTATCATAGACTTAAAGCAACCCACAGAATCTCTGCCGACAGCCCTCTCCCCTCTTTAGAGAAAGTGGGCTGTTTCGCAGACCTCACCAAATATACTGTAAGAGCACCCACCTGTCCACCGAGCAGGGCTCCGGACTGAGCGCACGAGCCCGGTTCTGACACAACACACACAACCCCAGGTATCTGGATACGAATCTGCATCGAGATGCCTGATTTTCTCCCCTTGCACACACGTGCCAGGCGCGGCAGTAAAGACTTGGGAAGTCGCTTGATACACAACTTTCAAATCCAGCCCCAAAGCTCTAGGCATACGGCGGGGCATTTAAAGAGCGCCTTATGATTATATTTTCCTTTTCTAAAGACTTCATTAAAGATGCAGAACGCGAAGTACTGGTACTCAGGTGGCGGGCTCACGACACGAGGTTCCACTGTAGAAGACTGCCTCCGCTCCGTAAGGCAACCAGGTACCGTCCCCTTGCCGCCACTCGCTCCGCGCCCGGGACGCTTCCCCTCCTCCCAGCCGACAGCACCTCCCCCGCGGGCCGCTAGCCAGCCGCCCGCCACCCGCCGGACAGTTCCCGGACAGCATCTTCATGGTTTCCAGGGCAACGATTCCCGTCCAATCGGAGAGCCCGCTGCAGGCCTACGATTGGCTGATTGCGCCAGGGGTGGGGCCGGGCCTTCCGCCTTCGATTTAAAAATTTGGCGCGGAAAGCCCGACCGTAGCCGGCGCCGCCCCTTGGAGTTGCGCGGGGCTTGAGCGCGGGCAAACCCGCGCCCGGAACCCCGGCATCCCCGCCCCTCCCCCTCCGTCGCCCCCGCCCCTCTGCGCGGGAGCTCGGCTCCTCCCTCCACGGCCCCCGGCAGAGCGGGAGGCGGGAAACGGCCGCCGCCGCCGCCCGCCCCAGCCCGCTCCCGGGGCCAGTAGACCCCGCGCCGTGTCCTTCTGCTTTCTGCTGACCTGTCAGTCCACCTCACGGTCGGAGCCGCCGGGGGCCGAATGGGGACCCTTGGCACCCCTTTTCCCGCCCAGGCCCGGGAGCCCGCGTGTCGGGAGGTTAGTCAGCCTTTCCGCCGCGCCGAGGTGGGTGCCGGAGGTAAACGCCAGGACCCGGACAGGCGGGCCGACGGGCGGGCAGGGGAGCGTGGCCGTCCTGGAGCAGTCAAGCCCCCGATTTGAAATTAACCCGCTCCCGGCGCGAGCCGACCCCGCGGGCAGGGAGCGCCTCTCCCTTCCCCCACCCCGCTCTTCCCGGCCCGGGCCCGCGCGCCAATCCGCGCCTCTCCGCACCGGCCACCGGCGAATCAGAATGCAGGCACCGCCCTCCATGCCCGCCCCCACGGCTGAGTTGGGGGAAAAAGTTCTGCAACTTTTATCCTTTTTTTTTTTCTGGCATTATACCCCTTGCCCATATGCTCTAGGTTGGGAAATAAAATTTGGCCAGCACAGGGTTCTTGAGCTGGAGCGCGGGCGCCCTGCGATCCCTAGGCTGGGGCGATCTCACTCACTGGCCAACCCCGGCCCCTCTCACCTAACCTCCGCACCCGGGCCAGACCGCCCCCCCATGTCTTGGCACGCGTTATTGTATTGCCTGCATCTGGCTCACGGCTTCCAGAAAGTGGAAACTGCGAGGTGGGAGAAGCTTGATTACCATGCGGCCCAGACTCGCCGGGCACGGGGACCTCGGCCCAGCGGTAGGAACTCAGGTGTGGAAGGAGGAGGCGGAGTGAAGCCGAAAACGCGCCTAGCCTGTCCCTGCATCCCGGGCTTCTTGTCCCTGTCGTCTTTCCTCGCTGTTCCTTCTCTCTCCCCGTTCCCGAGCCTTAGGCAGCATCAGCCTGCTGTATTGGATGTTAGAGTAGCATCAGGGTTAGGAAACACTGACCCTTAATTGGCAGGATGGGAGACCGAGGCCGGCGGCACCCGCGTTGCTGGCGTGGTCGTGCCAGGACTGTTTGCATCCCCATTGGCCGACTCCGCTATTTTCTGCCTTAAACGTTTCCCTTTTCTGGGGACAAGTACCGGGGTTACTGGGCCGCACGTGTTGCCCAACCGCACCAAGATCTGGGCCTCTGGCCATTGTATGGTTAGGGCTTTTCCTCTCCCGTGTTTGAACTTTGACTGTGTGGCCAGGCCCGGGGCCACACAGTCCAAATCCCGCTTATTTGAGTATAGGTGAATCATGCTTTACTGGCTGTCTTTGCTTTGCACAACTTTTTAAAAAAAATTTTCCTGGATGCGATAAGGGTGAGGGTTGCTGAAATCCCGAGGTCAGGATCCTGGCGGCTGCAGGTACTGGTGGCCTAGATGTTGAATGACAGACTATCTCAGCTGAAACGCAACAGGTTTCGAAGAGTGGCCTCCCGGATCGCTTAGCACCTACCTCCCTCATTCGCTTCCAGTGACCACCGAGGCGCAGGTACCCCACTTCAGCAAAGGCTCAAGACCTACGTAGACTTGAAGAGCTGACCTTGTGCAGGTGCCTTGCAAAGGGGCTGACCACACTTAGCTCTTAGAAGTAAAATAAAGGTTTCACCGCCAATGGTACTCAGAGCTGGCTCTCACTGATCCCCATTATACCTTCTCCCAAGCAAGGTGGGGTTACAGACACCTCAAGATTGGTGCTTTTGCACTCTCTGCTGTCTCCAGTTGACCACCAACCTCCCCCAGCACAGTGCTTTGGTTTAGCCCTGTTCAACCTACTCCACGTTTTGCTATCAGGGGAGTCTAGTGAACCAAAAGTGCCTTTTACAACAGACTTTTCAAAAGCAGCCAGTCTGATGTTCCTGTGTTCAGGCGTACAGAGGCTGTGCACTCTGCAGGCACCAACTGTCAAGTCCTTATATAAGGCAAATGAGCAGGGAACAACCACTGTGGTGACACTACCAATAGCAGCTCATTTCATATTCAGCGCAGGACCCCAAAAGCAATGCAGGGCGCTGTGAGGTAGTGACCCAAGGTCTCATGGTGAGTGACAGGGCAGGGACCTGAAGTCAAGTCTAACTCCTCCTGGCTTTCCGTCCTCACTTACTTTGTGGGTCAGTTGTATATCGTTTTATAGGGAACAAAACTAAGGCACAAAAGGTTTAAGGGGTAGCTGATTTACCTACAGAGCCAGAATTAGAATCCAGGGGTACTAGCTCCCCATTCTTATGTCCCATTCCATGGCCTCTGAAAGTTCCTTGTGAAAGCGATGTTAGTTTCAGCTTAGGCTGAATAGCAAAGGTGAAATAAATACATTCTTACTTAATGGCAGTTGTTATATGTCTCATTAAAGGCTGTACTTATCAGGGAACTCACTGAACATGATGCAAAGTAATTCGATTAAGGATGAAGCGGTACAGTCGTGAAGTCTAAATGGCCCTTTTTTGTAAAGGTAATTCAAAAAGGAAAGCAAATTGAAACAGTTCTATTCAAAACTGTATAGTATGTCAATTTGAAATTGACCATGAATGTAAAGGCAAGATGGAAGACTACTTAAAACTTATGCTTCCTGCACAACTAAAAGGGAAGGTTCATGGGACACGTTTGAAATGGTTTTCTTTACTAGTTATTAATTACATAATCCAAGAGGATATTTGCATTTGCTTCTGGGCGTGCTTGCCACGTTGTGCAATCCGTGCCTCCCCACGGTTAGGCTAGTTTGTCCACTTGATCCTGCCATCTTCCTGGGTTGCGTAACTTGCGGGTTATGTTGTATAACACATTCAGTACTAAATAAAGTCATATGAGAAAAGAAATCAAAGATGAAAGGGAAAGATGAGAATCACTTGAGGTCCCAGGATTCAAAGGTAATGTCTGGGATTTCTGAATCACGTCCATTTGCTTCATCAGCAAAGAGTCATACAGGTATGAAAAGAGCTGGGAAGACCTTCCCATATGATTAGGGTGGATGAGGGGTGAAGGGCAGACTTGCCCAACCTGGGTGGGTTCCCACACCCTTTCTGTTTCATTCTGCCCCCACCTTCCGGATATCACAGCTCTACCTCCTGAGTCAGTGGAGCATTTTGAGGTTGTGTTTTTTTGTGGCACGTGTTGGCACAGCCACCACAAAAATAAAAGCTGTCTAGGGCTCTAACTTGCACAAATCCCCAGGCACTGCCTGGGATTGCAGCTGCTCTAACCAGATTAGAGCCCCCGCCCCTGGCCCTTTGAACAAGTTGGTTACTTTGGTTGAAGATGAATGATGTGGGATCCAGTCTGGGCAGGGTTTGAAGAGGATGAACACAAGAAAGGAGCCCATCATTGGGAGAACCGGCAGAGGGTTGTGCTGACCTAGCAACTGGGTTTGGTCAGAGCTTGTCTTGATAGACACGAAATCCCCAAACCCTCCTGTACTTTCTGTGGGAAAGTCCAGAGGAGCCTATGACAGGTATCTGCAGCTACAAGCTCGGCTGCGGCATCAGAAGTTGTTGCCATTTATTGAACAATTATCCTACCTGAATTTTTTAAGTGCTGAGGACTTTTATAGGACTGGAGTCTGGGTTCTGTCTTCATTGTATTACTGTACTGCACTGTATTACAACCTATAGATGGTTAGAGAGTGGAGGGTCATATCATCTAATGCTTCTTAGACTGGAAGAATACACTTCTGGGTTCTAGGGCATTCGAGATAATGTGTATAGATTGGTTGGAGCAGGGGTGGGAATGTGCTACATAAAAATAATCCTCTCAATACAGGAATCCTGTATAACTTCCCTCCTTGGTAGCTGATGCTTTTTTGCTTTATGCCTGAGCTCTCAGAACAGGGGAGCTTGCTCATCTGTGCATCTCTCCATGCCTAGCCAGGTGTCTGATCCAGAGCAGGGGCGTGATGTGTGTTGGCTGAGTAAAGTTCTACTGTAGATGCTGTCCCACCAAGCACAGGGGTATGCTGTTGCCTTTTCTCTTTATTGGCAGTGCCAAGTTCAGTGCCTGACACATGCTTGGTACTTCACAATGTTTGGTGTGATTTTAGCTAGATGTTTCTGTTTTATTTATTTACTCACTAAAAAATAGTATACTGAATACCAGCCATGCTCCAAAGCCCCAAATTCAGTCCTGGGTGTATACAATGAGTGAAAGAGACAAAGTCCTTGTTCTCTTTGAGTTTATGTCAAGGAGTAGAACTGTGACCAGTATAGCTGGTATTATTTTTTTTCTAAATAGATTTCTCTGCTACTTCTTGATTCAACAAGTGTACCTTTTCTTCTTCTCCTCCTCCTCCTCCTTCTTCTTCTCTTCCTTCTCCTTCTCCTATGTTCGACTTCTAACAGTTTCTGTATTTTTCATCCCTAGAAGTCCAAGGTAAGTTCTCTCCTTTCAGCCCATACATAAGTTACTTGCTCTGAGCTTAGGGACCACCTGAGATCAACTACAGAACATGATGACTGCCCAGCAACAAACCCAGAAGTTCCCTTAACTCCTGATCTCCTACCCATTTTTCCTTCTCCCCTTTTTCTTTTCCAGAGATGTAGACTTCATTTGGACAGTCGCTTCTCTGAGTCCTTCAGGATTGTTGATTAGGAGTCACAGGTGACATCTGTTTCTCATGGAGTGGTCAACAGAGATGCAATCATTAAGCCTTGGCAGGGTCTCAGTGGTCTTGGATCTGGGCACTGGGCTGTTGGAACAGACTGCTGATCAGCTGTCAGGCTGGGGCATCCCTTCCCCTAGAAGGCTGCAGGCAGTTGCCAAGCACTCTTACAATGTACTTCTCCCTGAAACCTGCACATGTGAATACTCCCTTTAAAGTTGTGGCTTTCCAGATCTTATTGCATTTAACATGCTCCAAATACCAGACACACTGCAGTAAAGCTTTATTGCTTCCAGTTCTGCTTTGTCATATGGAACTGACATGAAACAGGATCCACATAAATTAATTTTGTTGACAAAAGCCTTAAGATCTTCTGAAAGAAGTAGATAGCTGTACTCTCCACCTTAATTGAAAATGTTCAATGAAAGCTCATAGCATTTATCAATGTAGAAGTTGCTTGCAGTTAATCAGTCCACTTGTGAATATAGTTATTAATGAACTACATTTGAATTTGTCTGCAAAATGGATAGTACTACATGTGCTTTTTAAACAGTGCCAAGCTTTGTTCCAAATTCAGTCTTTGGAATAAAAATGTGTAATTGTTTTAATGTTAATTTGTAGGACATAAAATGACATTGTTTTTACCAGTAAAGACATTGATAAACCAAAATGTCAGCTGTTAGCTGTCCCATCATTACTGTGACAACAATATTATATCTGTGTCACACTGTACATGGAGGCTCTTGGAGAAACATGGGGTCTGGAAAACAGGCATCTTCTAGCTGGTCATTGTTCCCTGAGACAGGATCAGCTGTGGACAGAAGTTAGGACCTTGCTTGATGGAAAGCCCACTCCTCTTTATAGCTGGGCAGCCGCAGGCAAATTACTTAAACTCTGTTGACCTCCTTCCCAAACTCCTCCCTGTTCCCTACCTTCTCAGTAAAAGGGGAATTAAAATACAGCCTCGAAGGATTCTCGTGGATTCGATGTGTTAATGGTGAAAATTACTTAACATAATGTTTACTGGGAGCGTGTGGTAAATAGTAACAGTGATCATTATTATGTATTATTTTACATATAATATAATCAATCCAGACACATGCATATCTGTGTTTGGTTTTATTTTTGTTTGTGTTAGTCACTTTGAGAAGATTCTTAATATCCAGATGGTGCCTAAGAATCTTTGGCTAGGAAATTGTTTCTCTGGCCAATTGAATCTCCTGTCCTTTACCCTCTTCCCTGACTTCCTCCTGTCCCTACATAGAAGCCCCTCCTTCCCCCATTCTCTCTGGCTTAATTTATAAACATGTTTGGGAAAGATACACTGAAGAAGAACACTACTGTAAGATAATGTGTTCTTATCTTTTAATAGAATTAGTAAGTGCATCAGAAGCAAAGGTTTCTTGTCTAGTTTAATTGTTCTATTAGTTGATATTACCTCTCCAGTGTTTGGTGTCCTCTTTTCTCCCAGCACAAAGATGCCTTAATTGCTCTAAGTATAGTCCTGACCATGGACTTGGATTCAGTTCATTCTTGCCAATTACCTTCAAATCCAAGGAGTCCAGCTCTTGCCCTTTTTTCTGGCACCAACTAGCTCTGCAACTTTGGATAAGCCACTTACCCGCAGAGCCTCCATTTCTTCCTCTGTGACAGGGGCTGATGCTCTCTGTGACAAAAAAAGACTTCATTGATGATGTCATTGGTGACACGGAACCAAACAAGGCAAGACTGATAAAAATCTTAAAGCCAGGTATGGCAGTACATGCCTGTAATGCCTGCATTCTGAGAGACTGAGGCAGGGGGATTGCAAATTTGAGCAAAGCCTAGGCAAATTAGCAAGAATTTGTCTCAAAAAATAAATTAAAGAAGGGCTCAGTACAAATACCTGGGTTCGTTCCCAGCATTGAAAACAATTTATTTGAAAGTATCAATTGTTGTTTAATGATAAGGAAATAAGTATTATCAAGACGAGCAAGTCTCTTGCTAGCTTTCACAATAGGAGCCATCACCACTGTCACATGAGGAGAGCAGACTGAGTCCTTAACTCTCGGGACATTCTTAGTTTTATGCTGATACCAATCTCTTAAAACTGGAAAAAAGCAGAGCCTTGAATCCAATGCTCTGGGCTCAGCCCAATATGGTGCAGCTGCCTGTCTTTCTGTCTGCCTGGACCTTTTAAAAAGAACTGTCCCAGAGGGCTCAGGATACATATTTTTGAAAATAAACAGCAGTTTGGCTGAAGGGCAAATGCTCTTGCAATGAGAAGTCAGCTGTGAGCAGAGCCCTGCAGGGACAGAAAATGGATCAGTATAACATTCAGGTCCATTTGGTGGGACCAGTTTGCTCTCACAGGTTGAATTTTTGCTCACTAAACAGCAGTGCTGTAGGAACTGGGGTGGTGTATTGGTCCCCATGGGGTTACGCTACTCTCCCAAGTCTCCAGCGTTTCAGGTGGGCCTGCCCCTGCCCGATGGAGTGCAGCTGTGTCAACAGGCCTTTGAAGTTCACACACACACCAGCTGACTGGTCAGCAGCCCCTGAGATCATCACCATGACCTTTGTGATGGGAAGTCCTGAAAGGCATGCAGAAGCCAGCCTTGTTGGAATGGTCTGGGAAGGAAAAAAAAGGGGCATTTGAGGAGAGAGCCTGGGAGAAACTTACCCAGACTCCCCAGGTGAATCCAGCTGCACTGGCTGCTCACCAGTCCCTGGTCTGATAGCTCCAAATCAGTACAGTGATTGAGTTTCTCTTATGCTGACCTGAATAATTGCCTCTGTGAGACTTTATTATTAGTGACAGCCTGCTGGTGGTGCTGGCTGTGCTGTAGAATCCAGGACTCAGTCTCCAGGCATCACAACACAGACTGACCACATCCACCAGAATTTCAGGGCAATTTTCAATTTTAGGATTCTACATTTTAGGTCACTGATTGTCTTTTTTTCCCAAGCTTTTCTAGAGCTCCTTGTGTGGCAGACTCTGGGCAGGGACTTGACATCAGTGCTGGGCTGTCTGTTTGATCTTCATGACTCCCTGGAGAAGTGGGATGTTCTCATCCCATTTTGCAAAGAAGGCAGAGGTGGAAGTGTTTGGGAGCAGTTATAGCTTTCTGGGGGCAACGAAGCCAGCAGAGGGTACCTAGCCATTGATGCTCTAGCCTGTGTTCAGAAATTCCACCCTGAGCTGCCTTCCTGTTGTGGAGAGCCTTGGTGGATTCCATGCTGGGTAACTAGGAATCAGGATGTCTGGTTGACCAGCATGCATTGTTTTCTTCCTATGGCCCAAGCCCAGAGCCTTTCAGTCATCTGCTCATCTTTATTCTTGGTTTAGATATCGACTTGGCCACTGAGTCTTGTCACTGGGTCCCAACATCCCCTTATGCCTGCCTCTGCACTCGCACAACCACACTTTGGGCCAGTGTGGCAGGCTTTCAGCCTCCTTTGTCACCAGGTGTTCCCTTTCCATCCTGTCTGCTCAACTCTGCAGGGTCCATCTCCATTTCATGCAACTTTGTCCTAGAGCTTATTCTTTAAAACATTCTGGAGACTCTGTGGCTCACAGGAGAAAGTCAGAACTCCGGGTTTGACATGGAGACACTTCCCCCTCAGGCTGTCCTCCAGGTTCCTATGCAGGCTGGCCTATATCACTCCTGCAATAAGCAAAGGTTGCCTTGGACCTTCTGACCTCAGCGTCTTTGCTCATGCAGCATCGTGTACTTCCCCACTCCGCTTTAAAATCTCATCCCCTCTAATACAGACCTCATCATGGCCCCATTTCAGTGAAGTTTTCTACAGTTGCTTTTCAAGAATGATCCATCCTCAAGCATTTTGTAATCCTTGCCAGAACATCTCCCAAGTTATTTCATTGTAATTGTTTTGGGGACCACATGTCTCCCATATCCCAGTGAGAGCAGATGGTGTGTGTGTGTGTGTGTGTGTGTGTGTGTGTGTGTGTCCCTCCACTATGGTCATCAGTGCAGTGCACTGATTACAGTAGACATTTGCTCTTCCTAATGTTTGAAGTAATGAGCAGAGAAAACCAAATAGTAGCAAATGAACACTTGTGGTTTATTATGAGCCAGGCGGTGTTCTATGTGTGCTTGTAATCATTCCTGTAAGCCTTGCAGCAAGTCTGAGAAAGCAGGTGACAGAGATGAGACCAGGGTACTCGTTGAACCAACTTGTCAAGGATTTAACAGCATACCCACAAGTCACATCCAACTAGTCTGCAGGCCAACCAGTCTCCCACTGCCTTTCCAGTATCTTTTACCTTTGCATAGGAGGTCCTAGCATGTAGCATGTCCTTTTATAAGACCTACTGTGTGGACTTCTAGATTTAGCAATGTGCATTGGATAATTTGGGCTACTGGGAGAATCAGGTATGATTCAGTAACTAGTTAGGTGCATAGAACAGGAATAAAGACAGAGGCACAGACTAAGGTTTTGAACTTGGATACCAAGGAGAAAAAGCAGGAATGCTAGTGGGCCAGAGATATACTGCAGCCCACCAGGTAGACTGGCCAGCCAGCTTCCAGGTGCTTCCAAGGCTGCTATCCCTAGATGGCTGGTGCTCTGTAAAAATGAAGTATATTTTTCATGTGCTATAAAACACAGCAAGTTCATTGTGTAATAGAATACAGGCCTGGGACTCCTACAACATTCTACTTGCAGAATGAGATGATTACTTGGTTAATAATCATAATCGGTCCCATGCATACACCCTATGTTTTATCACTCCTGTTTTATAATTAACTTTTATATTTTCCTTAACTTTACAACTCGGTCTGTGCATCAGAGTGACTCCAAACCCATATTTATCTAATTTAGTAAAACATTCACAGCACTGCAATTAGAATCACATGTTGTGTGATCACCATCCTTTGCTAATTGCATAATTCTTTCTGAGTTTAATCATCAGATGGCATTCATTTTTTAAAAATATGTATATGGCTTGCTGCTGGTTATGAGCTGCATGTAGACTCTCAGGTTGAGGCACCTGTGATCATAGAAGCAAAGACCTTCCAGAGCCAACGACCAGGGAAGAACTCTCCATCATGTACAGGTGAGGAGCCAGAGACCCAGGTTAAGGAACTTCCTTTCCAAATAGCTGTGTATTAACAGTTTTTGATGGCGTGAAAGACGGACACATCTGCAGAGATTATCACCCAAACCATCCCAGGGTAGAATCATTCAAGCATCATTCAAGCCTTCATTCAAGCCTTCCTGACAGCACAGAGCTTAATCCTGAAGAAGATTAGTCTGGGCCAAAAAGAAAAAAAAAAAAAAAAAAAAAAAAAAAATCAGGTGCTGGGCAAGGAAGACTATTAGGATATTCTGAAATTGTAATGCTTTGCCCTTGTTTTTCAGTTTCAGGCTGCTGATTTCCTGCAGATGTGCCATTATGTTACACTCTTTCCCCTTTTCTTCTCCTCTTCATGTGAATTTTATTGTTTCTCTGTAAGGTAGATTAGAATACAGTAGAAGATGTAATCAGGAATTAGGGATTAACAGGGAAAGAATCAGACTATTTGACCTAGCAAAGAACTCAAATATCTTCCAGTTTACTCACTTAAATTTTTTTTTTTTTCCCACCATCAAGCCTGGAGCAGGATGCACAAAATGACAGGTGCATCTGGTTACAGACTGGAGACTCCCAAATTGTCACTGCGGTGCGCTGTTAGCAGAGAGACTCTGTGACCTGGTGCCCTATGTCCCATCCTCCCACGTAGGATTCAGCACTTTTTCATGGGGCCTTGGGTGCGCAGTCTGAAGCCAGTGGAGTAAGGAGGCAGATGCAGAGGAGAAGCCACCAAGATGGGGACAGCATTGCACCCCAGAATGAATTTGGAGCTGAGGATTTAAGAGAGGGCCGCAGAGCCCAGCACAGCACATGGTAGGAGCGCGATTGGTCCTTGCTGTGTGAATGTGGGTACAAGCGGGCAGCGAGGGCGCTATGAGGTTAGAAAGAGCACAGACTGGCTGCTGCCACCTGCAGGTTTTTTTTTTTTAGTCTGGAAGCACAAGAAATCACGAGGCCCACCACAATAGTCTTCATCTTTTCATCTGCCGGGAATGAAGACCAATATGGACGTGTTAAGAATCACCAAGTCCAGAGAAGATGGCCCAATGGTGTGCTTAGGAAGAAACGTGAGGTCTAGAAACCTTCCTGCCACTGCAGGGTGGGGGTGGCTGCATCCTCCAGGGCCCGCCTCCACCGTGAGTCCTGCCACCTATCAGATACCCCTTCTTGTCTCCTGGCTCCTACCTGACTCCCTATGGGGAAGAGTCGGCACTCCTCCGGGAAGAATAAACGTGCAGTGCAAATGTTCATCTTTTACAAAGCCTGCCGGAATGGAATAGACTTAGTAAACATGGAATAGACTTAGTAAAAATACTTTAATAGACTATATCAGTGATGAAAGCAATAAGGTTGAATTTATCTAGCAGACATGTGACGCAAAGTCTACTTTTACTTTAGAACAAAAAGTGGGTGAAACTTACAGTTTAAAAAAGCCAGTATGACTAGGTCTGCAGGCTTAGTGTGAAAGGAATAATTTTTTTTTTTTTTTTTGTACTGGGGATTGAACTCACATGCATGCTAGGCAAGCACAGGACTGACTCTCCTGCCGCGCAGCCCTTTATTTACTTCTTTATTAAGCTGCTCCAGGTGCGCTGAACTGCTCCTGCGTCTCAGCCTCTGGCGCAGCTAGGGTGACACGCATACGCCGTGCCGCAAGGCCGAGACCACGCTGCTGCACACGCAGGGCTGGATTCCCTAAGGTGGAAGCCAGGTCGGGATCCGTGAGAGTGACACGCCCCGTAGTGTTCTGCTGAGTCAGGTCAGGCGCAGTCCCGAAGTTCCCCTAGGGTTTTATTAGTTGCAACACCTTTCCCTGGCTGCAGAGTTTCAGCTTACAAAGCATCTGCCTGAGCGTTCTTTGCCTCCTCACCTGGTCCTGTTGAAACGGGTTTCTGTGTTGTTCCGGGCGAGCTGACCTGCTCAATCAAGGTCACCCAGCCAGGGCGTGGCTCGGCCCTGCCTCTGACCCTTGGTCTTCCGTCCCACCCTGTCCTGCCCGCTTCTGCAGCTCCCGGAACAGGCCCAGGAAAAGACATCTCCTTTCCTAGCTCCTCAGACCCTGGGGAAGGGATCTGGGAGCTGGGCGAGTGGCAGGGCAAAGGGAAATGGAAATAAATGAGCTAGCATTTATCAGGTGCCCGCTGAGTCCCCGGCGCCACAAGTTTTACACTTTCTGACACAGGGCCTCTCTGGAGGGGCCTTGGTCATCTTGTGGCTCCCACAGACCCTGGCATCCGGTTGGCATCTTCTTCCACATTCACTTCGTCTGTACCAGCCATCATCTAACCCATCTTCCAAGAAGGCCTGCGAGGCAGGTAGGGCTGGGCTTATCCCCTTATTTAATAACGAGGCACCAGAATGTACATCCAAGCCAGGTGTGATGCCACACCCTGGATCCCAGCGCTCCGGAGGCTAAGGCAGGAGAATGGCAAGCTCATTCCAGCCTGGGCAGCTGTGCAATTTAGCAAGACTCTGTTTTAAACTGTTTTTAAAAGTATTTTTTTTTTAATAAAAGGCTGAACACATAGTAGGTCAGTGCAAAGGCTATGTGGTCAAGTCTGAAGTTCAACCAAACAGAGCCAAAAGGAACCAAACTCGTGTCAACCCATCCTTTTATTCTTTTATTGAATATTGATTATGATACCTCTGTGTTCTAGGAACTTTGCAGTGCCCATACCCACACAGTGCACTAAAGCAGCAATATTTTTCTGGAAATTTCTGGAGGGAAATGTGTAAACAACAGAAAAAAGGAGATACTGGGAGGTTTTAAACCGGAAGGTCACACATGCAGGTTTTGCGGCCGTCGTGACAGGTTACGGCCAGTAGGTGGTGCTCAGGCTCCCAGGAGTCCTTCCAAGCCAATCTTTCATTTCATATTCATCGCTGTGTTTAAAATCATATTGAAACGCTGTATTCAATTTGATTTTAATTCCATTTATTTGCCTTTAATTGTTACATGCTCTTCTAAAAATGGCCAAATTAAATTTAGTTGTGTCACGGCTTCCTGGGTAAGTGAAAGACATGTCCAGGAAATTAGGCTCCTAAATAAGTTAGCACATCCAGTGATTGGTATTAGGCTGGGGATTCCTTGCACAGGAAATGCTCATGAAAAGGTCTGGAAGAATACACACCAAAGCATTAGTTATGCTACCTCCTGGTGGTGGAAATACAGATTATTAAAAAAAATTTGTGGACTTCCGGGAGAACATGGCGGACAGATAGCAGCAGCTACCCAGGCTCTCTGAAAGACCCAGCTTAGAATCCAGGAATGGTGCGGAGTGAGGAATCCTAAGCAAGAGAGGAGATATGCCCTGCTGACCCAAGAACGAACTGGGCTGAGAGAAACCAACTGGGAATGCAATCCTGGTGCTATAACAGGAACAGATAAAGCCTCAGTGTGAAAACTGGAGCCCGCGCCATTGGAAACCGCGATTGGGTTTCCTGCTGCCGCAGCTGCGTCTGAATCGGCTCTGCAGAGAGACAGCCGTGAAAGCTCTGAGAACGGGAAACGGTGAACAGAGTTGAGAGCAGGACGGGCGGGGAGCCGTGCATCAACCTGCGGTGAGTGAGAGAAACTGGGACTCTTCCACGATGTAGAAGGCTCCAAAAGAGGACATTCTGGGACCGGGCAGACTTGGCGGAACAGGGTGCTGTAGAGACTTCAGTCACATATCCCCCTCGCAAGCGGGATTGGTGAGCAGTGCCTAGCCTACATGACGCTGCTGGCTGAGACCCAGTAGACTAGCACAGCCCAGGTCCCAGCACCTGAAGGTGATCTGGAGGGGCAGGCCCTGCATAGACTGCCTGGTCCGTAACTCGCTGGTGTGCTGCGGTGGGCGGTAACACCTAGCCGGCACAATTCAATCAGACTGTGGCCAACAGGGAAGGAAGCTGGGCCTCCTATATACGCTTGCATTTATAAGGAACAAAGAATATGGGAAGAGCAGAGCAACAAGAAAGGCCCCTCGGCCCCCAATCCTGAGAAACAGGCAATAGCGGACATGGCACCAATAGACATAAAGCGCTATCTCCAGAGCCTCATAGACGAGTTCAGGAATGAAGTTATTAATGACCTGAAGCTAGCAATAAGCAGAATAGTTAGAGAAATGCTAAGCACCACCCAAGAAAAAACAGAGGGTGGAACGGAAGAACAGAAAAAGAGGGGAGAACTGTTTGATGGAGAAAATAGAGAAAGCATAGAATACGTGAAGCAGGTTCAAAGATTATCAGGAAACCGAAAACTGGCATAACAGCTTGAAAGAAACTAAGGACAGATTATCTGAACTGCAGGGCAGATTTGTAATATGGGAGCATGAAATGAAAAACTTCTTAAAAATAACAAAGAAACAAACAGCAATAATACAAAGACTAGAAGATGATAAGAGGATCTATAACTTAAGAATTAAGAACATAAAAGAAGAAGTAGGGACACAAACAAATGAACTACAAAAGCTACTTGCAGAAATAATCCAGGAGAATTTTCCTAATTTAGCAAAAGATAAAGATACTCAGATGTATGAAGCATTCAGGACCCCAGCTACCTACAACCCAAACAGAGCTACACCCAGACATATAATAATCAAAATACCAGAAATGCAATATAAGAACAGAATATTAAAAGCCGCCAGAGACAAGAAACAGATCACTTACAAGGGAACACCCATCAGAATTACAGCAGACTTCTCAGCACAAACCATCAAATCACGAAGAGCGTGGGGGGAAATAATTCAAGCTTTGAAAGATAATAACCTCCAGCCAAGATTGATATATCCTGCACAACTATCCCTGGAAATCGATGGAAAAACAAGGTGCTTCCAGGATAAAGAAGGAACTAGGGGAATATGCAACCACCAATTCAACTCTACAGAGAATACTGCAGGATATTCTAAAAAAGAAAAATACAAAGAATCCAGAAATAGTGGCAGAGAGGCCACAATGAGTGGAGCAGAAAACAAAATGAAGAAGACAAACTGACAACTAATGACAGAAAAAGAGCTCAACAGAAATGAGGCAGAGAAGATTGGATGATAGGAACAGCTATTTTGGAGAAAATGACGTCTTAATAGGTAATACTGATTTAGTATCATCTTGTTTTGAAGTCTCATCAAGCTTTTGTTCTTCTGTCTCCATTGGTCTTAGCATGTTGTATCTTATTGGATTTTATTATATGTGATAGTATAAATAAAAACTTTTATAGACAAGGAGATTATACAGAAACCATTGTTCATTTTCTGTTAGTTGATTCTAAATACCCTGTAATACTCTCATTCTCTTGAATGGTTTTGCATTGTTTTGATATATTTGATGCTACAGTATATGAAGTTATACTCAAAGATTTCAAGGAAAGAGACAATATGGTAACTACTTTTTTTTTTTTTTTTTTTTTTGTCTTTTTCCTTTTTTATCGGTACCAGGGATCGAACTCAGGACTGCCTGCTTGCAAGGCAGGCGCTTATGCCGCTGAGCTAAATCCCCAACCCCCAATATGGTAACTACTTTTATGTCGGGATTATCTTGTGGTAAAACACTATTTTGCTTAAATGGTTATGTTTTTTTTTCTGCGCTGTTTTGTTGTTATGCCCTCTTTTATCTCAATCTCCATTTTTACTTTTTTATTTTTATCCTTTTACTTAAGGGTAAAACAAATAAAAAATAGCAGGATATATTATAGTAACCCACTTTGATTTACTATTAACTTGATTTGAAGCCCTGTATTGCTCTCACCATCTTGTTTTGACTGATGTTCCTCTATTCTGTTTTGCTTGATAGTACCAGGTTCGAAAATGTAGGCAACAGCTCTGAAGATAGTGGGATTCATTATGACGCCCATTCTGGTTGACTATTATCTACTTTTGAAGACCTGTAATGTCTCCAATGTTTTGGTTTTGTTGGTTTCATTCTTTACTGTTTTGTTCAATTTTATTATAACTGATGATATAGGCAATTCTATTAGAGATAGCGGGAGGCATTATGGTAACCATTGTCGATCACCTTGTATTATGTTTTTACATTTTCTATTATGTCCACCCTTTTGATTTGACTGACTCTGTTCTGTTATGTCACATTTGGTTTTACTGTCTTCCAAAAAAAGTAATAAGAACTGTGGGAGCAATAAAACCCAAAATGTGTAATAGTCATTGTACAAAAGAGAGGAAAAGAAAGTGCTCTAAACAATATAACTGCATGTATATTTAAGTGTATAAGATAGACAATGATATTACTGAGTTTTGTTGGATCATTGAACAGAACTGTTTGGTCTCACTGTTTGAATGTCCACTATATAAGCTTTAGTTTTGTAACTTGAACAAATATTTCTAAGATGATAATATGTAATCCATTAACTAGTGATTTCCTACTGTTTATTTTTTTTTCTGAAATTCTGTATAACTTGTACCCTTTTTCTGCTTTTTTTCTTTTTCTCCTTAAATAAAATTAAAAAAAAAAGAAAAAAAATTGTGTTGGAGTTTGGTGGCACATGCATATAATCCCAGCACTTTGGAGACCGAGGCAGGAAGTTATCTGCCAGTTTGAGACAAGCCTGGGATACATAGTGAGTTCAAAGCCCACCTGAACTGCATAGAGGCCATGTCTCAAAAAAAAATTTTGTCTACTTTTGACATTTTTTTAAAAGAGCATGTTTCGCTTTGCTTGTCTTAAATGTTTTATCAGAGTTTAATCTGCCAATGGAAAAGTACACAAATCTTACAGCCTTGAAATTCCCTATGTATTTATGCACACATAGGACCACCATCTGGATCACGAACTAAAAGATAGTTTAGAGCCCCAGAATGTTCCTGCATGGCTCTTCCCAATGATCCCCCACTCCCAGGAACCGGTATTCTGACATCTGTCACTATAGAGCAGTTGGGACTCTTTTGTGAACTCCTTATATGTAGTATCACATCGGATGTTCTCTATAATGTTTCAACTCTTTTATTTATTCAAGTAAATGTATACAAATATATATTAAAAACTTATCAAACTGTCCTGTTTTTGTGTGTAGTAGAAACTTTTCATTTTCACTGGTGTGTGGTATTCTATTGTGTGATTATAATGTATTTATATAATCTTTACAATCAGAGAAAAATGACTAAAACTATTTAAAGGGCTGAGTGATGCAGAGCCTACCTGAGTTCGATTCCCGGTACATCCCCCCCGCCCCCCAAAAAAAACGATTAAAAATATAGAAATTGCATCCTTGCTGGAGGCAAGGAGACATTTCCACAGTAAGATAGTCCTCGGGGGCACGAAACTCTCCAGCCGTTCTGGGATTGGCGTGGGCTCAAGAGCATAGGGTCTTTGAGAAAGGAGTTAAAAGAGCCATGAGGGGTCAGGTGCGCTGAACTCAAGAGACAATGTCAGGCAGTTCTTTGAGCCTGGACAAGTCTGGTTCTCACTCTGACTGGCGTGTGCCTTTGGGGCGAGTTATTGAAGTTCTTTGTTCTTACTGAGCCGGAGATTTCTTATCTATAAAACATGTAAGGTTTTCAGAATTAAGGGGAAAAGAGCAGAAAGAGCCAAGCTACCCATGAAACTGAATTCGGGGTAAGAGGTGGACGGACGCACGGCTTGGCGTCCGCAGCCCTGAGCGCTGTGCTAAGCGCACAATGAAGAAGCCCTCACTGCGCATGTGCGGCTCTAAGGAGCCGGCGTTTACCCGGCCGGTTAAACACAGCTCCCGCCCCTGCTTATACCGGGACACCGCTCCCATGAGAAAGTGTTCGTCAGCAGAAAAGTACGCACAGATGAAAGGAAACGGAGGGCCCAGCAGGCGGGAAGGAGGGCTGTTGGTTTGGAGCTGGAGCCTGGGAGGCTTCCACCCGCTGCACTAGCCCAGCCGGGTGCTGACTCTGGAAGCCACGCCTGCAGTCCCCCTGAACAGCTGGGTGCTTTGGGCTCCCAGCTTGCTCTCTAACCTGCGTTGCTCCTAGGTGCGCTGTGTAATCGCTCTGCACTGCGGGGGCCCTTTCTGCACCTATTCAGCAAGTTCTACAAGAAGCTTAACTCTAAAGGCTGCCAGACCATAACGGGACAGGAGCGGGGACCCGGCTCCCCGCCTGCCCCTATGCCATGCAGCCATGCACAGTTACATCAGACACCCAGGGCTGCTCTGGGGAGCACTGGTTTTGGTCATGGGTCCGTCCCAGAGGATTCCGTCCCTCTGCAGCTGTCTTTAATCAGGGCCAGGTGTGAGTCCTCTCCTGCCACCGCCAAAGTTTGACACTGCTCATGTGTGACCCCTACCTTTTCCTTCCATGTAAGCAACCTCCTCATATCCTTAGGAGGTCGTCCACCCACAGCTCCCTGTTATGCTACAGCCTGTAAGACTATTTTAGATTTCTTTTTTTCCAGTACTGGAGATGGCACCCGAAGTCTCACAGATGCTATGCAAGTGCTTTATAACTAAACCACGTCCCCAGCTCTTTTAAAATTTTTATTCTAAAACATGGCTTTGCTAAGTTTGCCCCGCTGCCTTCAAACTCAAGATTTTCCTGTCTCAGCCCCTCATGAAGCTAAGATTACAGGTGTGTGCCACCATGCTCTGAATGGATGGTATATTCTTGCCTATTCTCTGGCACAGAGCAGGCCAAGCTGGTACACTAAGAGCTGGCTGTGCCAAAGACTGTTGGCACCGACAGTGACCAGCATGAGTGGCACTGGCAGCCAGAGAACAAAGGAAAGCGGTGGAGAGTGGACAGGGGCTGCCAGTGGCTGCTGGACCTGAGGAACAAGAAGGTCTTCTCAGCGACAAAGAAAGATCGCATCGAGGCTTTTATAGGTAAATGGATGAGACTTGAGACCATACTCATGAATGAAATAAAGCAATCTCACATATTTAAATACTGTATTTGTTTCCCTAGTATAAGAAACCAAAAGAGCAAATAAGATACAAAATCTTCAGTAAATATTGTGTAAGAGTAAGAAGGTGCTCAAATGGAAAAAGTAACTGGGATGGGGAAAGGAGGAAAGAAGGAAGAAAAAGGAAAAAGATACTCTCTCTCTCTCTCTCTCTCTCTCTCTCTCCATATATATATATATATATATATATATATATATGATAGCTAAGATGACTAAACTACTACTTGATTAGTTCTTGGAAAAGAAGTTAATACTCATATGATCTGATCAATTTTGCATGTCTCTATCTGGTAGTCTAAGCAACCCTTTTGAAGGCAACAATATGCAATATTACAACCACTGTTAAATTCCTATCATCTTGTTTTGAAAGCCTATACTGTTATTGTTTTGGGTTTGCCTCTTTTGCTTTTCTTTTCTGTGTCCTTTTTTTCTCTTAAATAAACAGACAAATAAATTAATTAATTAAAAAAAGAAGGTCTTCTTACCCCAGGGCTGATAGTTACTGCTGTTCAAAGCTCAGGGCTGTTTGCGATTTTCATCTGAATTGGAGAAAAAGAACACTGAGATTTTCTCATGGGCTCATAACTCCAGTTTGCAGATAACGAGGAAACCTGGGATGATTTGACCCTTCGGGTTCTGAGCAGAGCTACACGGTACAGTCTATGGCCCTCACCTTTCCCGTCAGTAGGTGGAGGGGTTGGTGAAAAATGCGAAGTGTCTGAACACCTTGTTGTTGCTGTGAACTCGGAGCATACAGACATTCTGTAATGTTTTCAGCCCATTTCATTTTCACAGTTATGAACCTGGATATGTTAGTCAGCTTTCATGCTGCTGGAGCCACATACCTGACAGTCACAACTAAAGGAAGCAAGAGCTCAGCATCGCAGGAGCTTCAGTCCATGGCGGCTGGCTCCAAGGCAGAAGGACCATGGTGGAAGGGCCTGGTGGAGTGAAACTTTGTAGTTTATGGCTGCTGGGAAGCAGAGTGCAGGGAAAGCGTCATGAGACATATACCCTCCAAAGTCACACCCGCCCCGCCCCCAGAGACCCACCTCCAATGCACGTTCAGCCTTGAACATCATTGGCGTAATTCACTGGTGAGTATGGTGCCCCCATGAGCCAATCTCTTCTCCACTCAGAAGTCTCTCAGTCCGGTCAAGCTATCAATCATGATAAACCATCACAACTGAGAAGAAGGAAACATGCAACTCCTTCAGATCGAAAAGAACTGTTGTAGTGGTTTTAGAGTGGGAAGGAGCTGGAATCTACAGCAACACCATCTCTTACCAGCTAGACAACTCTAACTGAGTTACATAAGCTCTCCATGCCTTGATCCCTTCTGTAAAACAGGTGTAACACTCACTGCCCACCTGGTAAGGCTTTGAGATTTCAATGAGGAAATCTGTATTAAGCACCCAACACAGTGGCAGGTACAAAAATAATTAATTCTTGCTTTTATTACTAATACCTAACATTCATTTATTCAATCAACAAATATCTGTTGAGTGCCTACTATGCTCTCGGCCCTCTTTTAGGAATGGGGAATACAAACAGAAACATAAAACTCCACCTTCTTATTTGCACAGTGTAGAGAAAGCATGAAAGAAACAAGCAAAACAACTGATAGGTCAATTGGTGATAACCACTATGGAGACGGAAGAGGGAAGGGAGAAGGGAGAGGTGGGTGGGGAAAGCTTCATTGAGCAGAGAGGAAATCAGGGAGCAAGGGAGGCAACCAATCAAACACCCAGAAAATGTCCTAGGCAGGGCAGATAGCAACGCAAAGTTCCCGCTGCAGGTTCACACTTGCATGGCATGTTCAAGGCAACAGGAAGGTGGTCACCAAGGAGCTTTCTGACAGATTTAAATAGGAGACGGAGAAGGAGGCAGGAAATGTTAGAACAGAGAGGGACTTGGTCCTCCCCAATGTCTTCAGAATCCTCAGCAGGCACTTGCAAAGGCCTGGCCTGGTTTTGTGGTCCTTCCCATGTCCAAAGCTGGTTGAGAAGGCAAGATTCGCACCCAAGTGTCTCCCATGTGGGTTGGCATAGTAGGGGAGCTCTTTCCGTATTAGTAGCAAAAAAAAAAAAAACCCAAAACATAGAACAAAGACTCAGAAATTCTGATTGGCCACTGGCTTATCTCTCGGGGTTAAATCACCGCCCCTTTGGGATCTTGTGGTCGTCATCCTGTTCAAAGCAGAGACTGATACCTAACCCTCGGGATGCTCTTCACAAGGCCAGTCTGAAAGACCCCTTTTACCCCAAGCAGATTGCAGCTTCGAAGCTGAGATTCCTGTCTGAGGCTCTTTTACTCCTGAGAGGAAGACACTCTGGTCCCAGACCAGTGCTCTTCCTGCCACACCACGCTTGTTTCTCCTGTAAGGCAGGGAAGTTGGTCTGGGGAGCTCGCCAGGTCCTTCCGGCTGGACATCTGCATCTACTGAAGAAGCGCGGCAGACTCGGAACCTAATTTACTCTTAGATGTGTCTTCATGGTTGGTTAGATGTACAAATTCATTCTTAGGCTGTCGCTGGATGCTGTGTTGGCTCTGAATGTCGCTTCCCTTTTTGTGCCCATTGAAGCAGTAACTTTCAGCCAGTGCCTCTGTGCGGCCTCATTTCCTGCCCGATGAGTCCTCAGCTTGTTGATGTGAACAGAATCAACAGAGGCCTCCTCCTCTGTCCTCCTTCTCCTTGGCTTCTTTTCTGAAGCTGCAGGAAGTGAGCCTGGCTTAGGTTATCCTGTGCTTCAAACCATTAGGTGAGCCTGATCATTTTCTTGGCAATTTGGTTGCAGAATGAGCTCCTTCCCTAGCCTGGCCCTGGGAGGAGAATTAAGCCCTGTGCTCCCCTTGCTGCCCTGGCCCTAAACACACCGAGCTTGCAGTGACTGACACATTCTTGTAACATAATCCCTACCCTTTGTAACACTGAGCATGATTTTGCCCCAATTACCTTATTGACTTGGGTAATAAGTGTGGTGTTAAGGGTTAGACTTGCTTTTCCTGAAGTCATGGCTATTTAGTTGTCACGGGGCTCCTGGTCCTAAGCCTGTAAGATGTGGAGTGAACTTTATTTGCTAATCTCATGGCCATTCTAAATGGCAGACCTATTAGCTC